CCCAAAATAAGGTCCCCCCCTATTTTCGAAAACTCCTACTTACGCACGAAGTGAACCGAAATTACGGCTGTCAGCCCCGAAGCGCTTGCCCCACTGTTCGGCCCGCGAGCCCTCTACCCAAAACCCTAAACCCCAAACTCTAAACCCTAAACCCTAAACCCTAACCCAACCCAAAACCCCAAACTCCTGAAACCAAAAATCCGGAAGCCCAAGCTCTATAGACAAAAGATCCTAAGCCTTAGCTTGATGCAACCCCCTAAATTCAAACCCTAAATCCCAAACCCTAAACGCTAAACCCCCACCCGATCCTCCCTGATTTCAACGTCAACCGCAGACATGGCCTGTGTCTACCTAATCAGGGTTCCTGAAAGAGGGCACTTGAGCCAAAATGGCTTGAGCCGTAGCCATTTTGGTCAAGCCATTTTGGCTCAAGTGCCCTCCCTCTTTCAGGAACCCTGATTAGGTAGACACAGGCCATGTCTGCGGTTGACGTTGAAATCAGGGAGGATGAGGATTGGTCCCCTACCAGTGTCGTGGACGTTGCTGAGGGTGAGGGTTTGGATGGTGGATTGGGTGGCGAGACAGCGGGCATTGAGGGTGGCCTGACTGCTGAAGGTATTGGTAAGAGAAAACGTCGCGTTGGTGAGGGGCGCAGCGGTGAAGATGATAGTCCTTCGAAACGAGGACATGGTGGCACTCTTACTGCGGATGAAATGCGTCAGCTCCTGAGCCAGCACATGATGGAGATGAAAGAAGCTTGGGGAAACATGGAGCGAAGAGTTGACAAGGTCGAGGGAACGGTTGCTGGCCAGAAAAAGGAAATCAAAGCTGTCCATGCTCGACAGAAAGTCATGGACCAACAGCTCCAGGGAGTTCAGGCCAAAAGTGATGCCACATCACGGAGGGTTGAGACTGTGGAGGGTGAGATTGCCAACCTCAAGGCCAAGATGGACGAGATCAACCTCTCGAAGAATGGAGAGTCGGGAGATGGACGTGACGTTGATCCTTGGGGTGACTATCTTAAGAACAAGAACACGGTGATGCAAGTCTTGCCACAAGGATCCCCTGAAGACAAGAAGGGTGGGCTTAGCGAAGAAGATCAACGCTCGCTTATCGTTGGGGGGGTGGCTTCCTGATACGCGGAGAAATGTCATTGAGGAGGAAGCCAAAGAAATCTTCGAGCAAGACCAACTTGCTGAGTTGGTGGATACCTCCAGGCTGGTGATCTTCGGGCCTCGCCGCAGCTTTGGACTTCTCCGATTCCGTCTTCGAGATGGTGAGACCCCCGCTGACTTGCGTGCAAGAATGTGGCAGGTGATCACTAAGATCCGTGACGCGAAAGTTGCCCTCGCCAGCACCAAAGGGGATGATGGCGTGGCCAAAATCATGTGGACCTCTTTCCTTAAGACCCCAGAAGCCCGCAAGCGCTCAGCAATGTGTTCCCTCACCCGTCGAATCGTCATGCAGATTGCCTCCAAGATCCGGGATGACTCAGGGGTGATTCGCAATCCGAATGCGGCGTCCTCTGAGTTTTTCGATGTGGATTGGAGCACAGGGACGATATGGCATGGAATACATAAACTCGCCAGCGCCACGCGCAGAAGGGATGCCAACCGCCTTGATGATTTCCTCCAGCTCCGACTTGGGTGGGTCGATGTGAGAGCTGTTGTTGCGATCACAGGGGCACCATGGGCCGATGTTGTCTCGGCCTTTCAGCAAGAGCCATGAGGGCGAATCGGGAAGAGTCTCACTGACGTCACTCCCGAAGTGGATTTGACGTCCATTACTGTTTCGTGCTGGAATTTGGGAGGTCAGCCCTTGGATAAAATCGCCACTGCTGACACGAAGACTGATATTTTCCTAACACAGGAAATTGCAAGATCGGAAACGCCGGGCTGGTCTGAGGACGAAAGTGACACGCACTTTTGGATCTCGCACAGGGGGGCCGGTCAATGGCGCGGTACAGGAATTGGTATAGCCAACGAAGTCTTTGACTCCGTGATCGCTCGTAAACACACCAGTCGTGGAATTGCCGTCTTGATCAAACTCAAACACAGAGGGCGGGTTGTTCTTGGCTCCCTGCATGCTCACAGTGGGGTTGCCAACAAGATCTATCAACATGCAGCGGATGAATTTGTGCGTGAACTTGGTGGCAAATGGCGTAGTTACCCTTGCATCCTTGGAGTTGATGTCAATGAAGAGGTCGTCTGGACTGGGCGCCATAATGACAGTCAAGTCGATGTTGCATCTGGGTCGGCCAACTTGAATTACCTCCATGGCCTCCTCACCGCTCAGGGATGCAAACCCGTTGTACCCATTGAGGCCCACAGGTGCCTGCCCACCCACTACCCCAGAGACGAAAATCGGCAAGGTCGCCACATTGACTCCATTTGGGTTCGGGGCCTGTCCTGTGGGGAAGTCGTCCTGCATCCTGAAGCTCGCCATAGAATTGGGACTGATCATGCCCTTCTCTCTACCCCTGTCTTACTCAAACAGAGCGCGACCAAGTGGGCAAACGACTCCCGGCCGCGGTTTGTTGTGTCTGACCTCCCTGATGTACCTCTTGTCGATGTCGATGATATCATTGAGCTCGGAAGAACATGCACTCGGCCATTGCCTGGGGTGAGATATCATGACCCACCACATGTCAAGGAGCTCATTGCTGATGCCAGAAACAGCCGTGACAAGTCTGCATGGAAGCAGGTGCACCATGCTAGAGGACTGCCAGAAAAGAGTGGGAAAGTGATCGGGTCGCTCGCATCCTGCAGGGCGATTGGACTGCCTATCGTACTTGGAAACGACAATTGTCACGCAAATCGGGATGGTGGGGCAAGATGCTCGAGACTCGTACCGAACAAGAACTTACTGATGAAGCTCGCCGACACCTTGAAGGAAAACTCCAAGGACCTCAGGCTGAAGATTGGGACGCTGAACTTCATGTCTTTCAACAACAGCTCTCCATTGACCAAGATTGGATCCCCTATACCCTTCACGAAGTTCATGATCAGTTGTCGAAGATGAAAGTTCGATCCTCGGTTGGGCCTGATGGCATTGGAGTCTCGCTGCTTCGTGCGCTTGCTGACCATGACACTCTCTCGGAGGACTTTCTTGCTATTGTCAACCATGTCATCTCCACCAATGCTTCTCCGGATCATTGGCGCACGTCCCTCCTTGCGCTCCTTGCCAAAACCGAGCAGCCGCAGGGCCCTGCAGATCTGAGACCGATTGCGATGTCATCCGCCCTCCAGAAGCTGACTGTCAGACTTGTCATGCAACGCACCTTTCCGCTGCTTAGGACGGGAACTGACATTGCCTGCTGCGGTAAAGGGCGGCAAGCTGCTGACCTTGTTGGGTGTTTCACTCGACTACGTGACATTTCCAAGGAATGGAAGATCCCACTGGTGATTGCCAAACTCGACATTAGAGGGGCGTTCGATGCGGTCACCCGACGTTGTGTTGCTCTCTACTTTGTGCGCAAGCTTGCACACTGTGGCATGGGAAGGGAGACGAGATTCTTGCTTGAGCAACTTCGGTCCAACCTTCTCATCGGAAAGGTCCCTGGAGGTGACAACATCACAGTGCGTTGCACCAGTGGATTCGACAGGGTGCCCCCGAGTCCGCAGAAATTTTTGCGCTCGTACTCCGGGAGGCGCTTGAAATAATGATGGAAGGGGAATCGTGGCGACAGATTGGAAAGCCCATACAAGATTTGGATGTCGAGCTTCTCATGTATCAGGATGATCTCTTTCTTTGGGAGGGTGATGTTCGCAGGCTCGACACCAAGCTGCAGCTTATCAACACCTGCCTTCAGCGCTTGGGTCTTCAGCTCGCAACTTCCAAAACAGCGATAACTTGTACGCCTGACTACTCAGGGGCCAGGCGAGTCCAGGTCAACGGGGAGGTCATTCACGTACAGCCCTGCCATGTACCTATCCGGGTCTTGGGCTTGAACTTCACCTTTGATGGTAAGCAGACCACACAAGCCAAAGAACTCATCGGCAGAGTACGTGCTGCGTTTGGGGAGCATAAAACACTTCTACGGGGTCGAGCGTCGTGGGAAAACAAACTGTTTGCCCTCAAAATGTTGGTTGAAGGGACGATTACCTGGGTTGCAGGGGCGGTCTACTGGTGCCCTGAGGATCTCGTTGCACTCAACACGCTCCAACTGCACATACTCCGTGACATCTTCCGAGTGCATCGTCGACGGGAGGAGACATGGGTTGACTTTAATCAACGTTCCCTTAGATTTGTGAGGCTCTGGATGCATGATCATGGGTGCGACAGATGGAGTACGAAAGTCCGCAAGCTTCAGTTCTCTCTCGCTGGGCATTGGATCCGACAATCAGAAGATGATGGACGTGGGTTTGAAGCCAGGCTCGGGTTGTCAGCTCGCTTCCTGAACTGGAGGTGTCTCAAATGGTGGAGGCAGGAACAGTCCGTGTCGCCTCGTGCCGGTGGTCGCCGGCACCCCGCCAACTTCTTTCCGGCCAACCTTGAACGTGAGATAGCTGAAGTACTTGGGGTTGACTGGATGGAACGTGCGTTAGACCGTGACCTATGGGGAGCCAACCTTTCCACATGGCTTGCTCAGTCAGATCTTCGATGGTGCAAACTACGACAACTTGCAATCACAAGCCAACCTCTCCCGGGGTGAACTTTCATCTTTTCACTTGAGTCCCCTTCCTCTTCTCCTTTGTGAAGCTACTGGCTGAGTGTCGTGTGAACTTTGCTTGAATGCCTCATGCTCAGCGCCTTTTGATCAAGTGTCCTGCTCTTGTCAACCCTGTTGCAGCGATGGTCTTTGCTTTCCTCGTGCGGATTGCTTTGGATCTTCTCGCCATGGCATGGACTACTTTCTGGGATGGAAATCTGTCCTGGGATGTTGGCTCCACGACCAGTACACCGATGACTTCTACTTCTTCTACCTGTGTGATCCTCAATGTCTATCTTTTGCCGCCTACCTTTTGGGATGCCCGTTCGGACCATGCCGCCCTAGACGGATGGCTGTGGTCCTCCATGGGAACGCCGCCCGCCATTGGAATGTCGCCAGCCTCGTCACTTTCCGACACACCCCTCTTGAGCTCATCGTTGACGTCTATGAGGCCAACACGGACCACATCTTCGTACACCTTGTCCCACGCATCTTGGGTCGACTTGCCGCCCCTCCTCTTGGTTGTGGATGCCACTTCGTGGGTGACATGGATGACTTCTTCCTGGGAGCTACCGACTACTATGTGGACTACGCCCTTCTTCCAGAGTGCCTGGTTGGGGGACGTGACAGATTGGATCGTGGGTGTCCTTTCTCTCTGGTGGACATCCTCATGCATCGTAACTTCCACCGGCTTGCCTCCTCCTGTTCCTCTCTATGTCATGCCTACTACTTTGTCGATTACCGGGGCGACTTCCTCCTGTACTACCTGGAGTGCTGTGTGGACTACGTGGACGACTTCCTCCTGGACAACCTGCTCCTGGACTACCTGGATGGACATCCTGATGGAGACGATTGTGAGTGACTTTCCCTTCTGGACTCTACATCCCCGGACCACTTGCACCACGACAATGCCTTGGTGTTCCCCCACGTGGGAGGGCAGGGGTGACATGATGACTGACTATGCTGTCGAAGAGATGATGTACTGTGCCCCTACGACTACCACAACTTCTTCTTCGACGGACCCCCAGTTCCCGGTGGTCGATGTGGGACATACTGACATGGAGGGTGATGTTGCCAGTGGACTCCCATCCCCTGCTCCGGTGAGTGCAGGCACGCTCCAGGACTTTACGTTGCAGGAGCTCATCGACGCGAATGTCTTGACGGGTGTAAACCCAGCTGGACAGACTGAGTCTCCTCTTCTCGCCTCCCTCAATCAGTCACTCCCTGAATTTGCGCTCGTCCACGAAGAAGCTGCTAATCGACCCCGGGGAGTGGACCCAGCTTACGACATGCTTGCAAGGATGACACAGCAAGTGTTAGGGGACACTTATAACGCGGGGTGGCACGGCCACGGCCCAACAGTTCGTTGGGCGACCACGACTGCTGTCCATGAATTCAGGGCCATCGCCGTGCTACTTGACCGACTGGCAGGGATGATAGTGCACTCGTTGCGGCGACCGAGAGAGGAGCCCCGCACTAGTCCTCCTCACATCGCAGTCCTGCCTACGAGCTCCATGTACAATGGTCTCGTCGATGGCGGGGATTCGTGGCCCAGATCGTCCACCTGGCGTTGGAGCAGTCGAATCAGAACGCGGCGGAGGCTATCGCTACCCTTCGGGACAGGGAGGTGCACCGCAACAATATGGAGAACGCCAGACGATTGGAGGAGATGCGGCGACCTTTGCCTAGTAGCCTGAGGCCAACCTTGGGGTGACTGTCTCCAGGCGTCCTTTGGGTGTCCATGCTGGTCACAAGAGAACCCATGAGCAAATGAGCCAGATTACGACCTCTGGAGCATCGTCGTCACATGATCCTCCTCCACCCTCGCTGGTCGTCCCGGCCAGACCGCCTCCGCCTAGTACTTCGGGGCGACCTAGTTCTGGGGTGCCTTCCGTGGATGCACCGAGGCCGATGATGAATCCGACGACTCCCTACCTTATACCTTCGGCCCCGGGGTGGAACATTGAGGAGACACCACAATATGCAAATGTACCAGATGTGGACGATGTCCTCGCAGAAATCATGTCCACCACTCCCACCTCGACAATCTTAGCGGCGAATGTGGACCAGACTGGGATGATATCTTCCTCTACTACCACATCGCTTGTCGATGTTGTTGGGGGAGATGCTACGGGCGGAATTGAGGACGACTACCTGGATGGTGAAGTTGATTGGGGAGCAGAACCTGGTGTCCGACCAGCACGGGAGGATGTGGTTGAGGAGGAGGCCGAATTTGATGAGTTTGATGAGCCAGAGGATGATGGGAGAGGAGTTGGTCCTATTGAGACTCCACGCTCACCCAGTGGGATGGTGACAGCAGGCTCGTTTCCACTCCCCGGACGTGCTGAAGCTCTTGCGCAGCGCATCGCCTACCTCATCCTCCGCGATCTGTTGGCCATCCTTGAAGATGTTGACGCTATGACTTCAGCATCAAGGACACCAGTCCATGCTGAGGTTGGCTCTACGGGTCCACTGGGGTCTCCACCTGAGCAAGTACAACCTGGTGATTTCCTGGATGGTGCCCAGCATGACTCCGATGGTGACATGGTTATGGCTTTGGATGAAGAAGAGGATGGGGAAGCACAACCGGCCGTGGACTACGCGTCGTCTAGTGCCTCCTGACTACCTGGGACGTGCAGGGTGACTCTGTGGTACGTTCGCTGTGGTGGCTTGTGGGTATCGGATGTCCTGCGTTGGATTGGCTGTGTCGCTGATCTTCGTGTTCTACTATGTCGTGGTCCTCGTTGCCTTCTTGGGTGTCTTTAACATGGCGGTGTGTTTCACTTTCTACGAGCCCAATGGGGCTAGCGCGGAGGTAAAAGTCCGACTATCGTAGATCAAAAAAAAACCCACCCGCAACCCAAAACCCTAAACCCTAAACCCCTAAACGCCTAAACCCCTACACCCTAATCCAAACCCTAAATCCCAAATCCAAGCCCAAAGCCCCTAAACCCTAAAACCCGCAAAGCAGGTGAAGTGCCCGCATTGTAACTTCCAATGCGCGGCACAGAACCTAGAGGCGCACGAGCGACACTTGTCAAATTTCGGGGAGGTTTAAGGGCTCGGGTTTGGAGTTTAGGGTTTCGGGTTTAGAGTTTGGCGTTTAGGGCTTTAGGGTTTGGGGTATAGGGTTTAGGGGTTTTGGGGTTTAGGGTTTCGGGTTTAGGGCTTGGAGACGATAGGATTTACTTATTCTTCCTTAGGGTTCCTTATCATGGTTATACTCTAATAAGCAACAGACCCTGGAAGTCAAGGCTCGGCAGTAGAAGGCATGCAGCTCCCAACGATGGGAATGTCGATTCCGGCAGAGGGTGCTTATCTCTAAGGTTGAACCCATGGGCCCCTAACATGGGCCCTAGGGGATTCTAGGGTCCCTTAAGGGTATTTTTAGGGTATGTAGTCGATATATTAGGGTCCCAGGGTTAAGGGCCCATACTAGGGGCCCATGGGTTTTACCTCAGATTATCATGTTCGGCGAGCAAGCGCAGGATCAAGTATCGGAACTCTGCTGCACGCCCCCTGAGCCCTTAAGAAAACCGAAAGCCTTTTTTCATTTCCTTCTGACATTGCGTCGCAATGCGGGAAGTTGGGTTTTCGGAGTTCAGGCTGCAGGGAGAATGCTCAATACTAGTATTATTTCTATCTAACACCTACGACTGATATTGTTATTTTCGTCATTATTGCGGTTAATCACTGCCATTACCAGTACTATAACCGTTACTATTTCTGAAAATTTATCTCCTTATGTACTTTATCACTATCACCCTCTATTACTTCATTACTTTATTCCCTAAACCCTAAACCTTAATGCGTTTGCGACGACTACTACCGCCTGAGCCTTGATCCGGGAAGGCAAAACCTGGGATTCTGCACCCGAAATCCTAAAAAGGCCAGACCCCGCGCCTAACGCATCAGCCGTGAACGCTTTGCAGGGTTTAGGGTTTGGGGTTAAGGGCTAAGGAGCCCAGCACCCCTTAATTAAGGAATATACCTTACATTATAAGGGGCTTCATCATATAAGCTACGTTCCTAAACCCTTAACCCTAAACCCTAAACCCCTAAACCCCTGAACCCCTAAACCCCTAAACCCCTAAACCCTAAACCCTAAACACCTAAACCCTAAACCCTGAATTAAGGGCTATTGGGCTCTCTGGGTTGAGATGTGGGAGTTGCGTCTCCGAAGGCTCCAGTGTGGATCTGCTTTGCAGAGAGAGCCCTAGTAGAGTTCCAGGAGCTGTAATTATTTTCGAATTAGGGTTTAGGGTTTAGGGTTTAGGGTTTAGGGTTTAGGGTTTAGGGTTTAGGGTTTAGGGTTTAGGGTTTGGGTTTAGGGTTTAGGGGCATCGAAACAGTTACACAAGATGTGGGTTCTTTGCATTGACGAAGTTTTAAAGGGAGATCTGCATTAGGAAGTCTCCTGGTGGCGTACTGAACATGCGCGTGGTGGCCTTTTTCACATTTTGGGTTTAGGGTTTAGGGTTTGGCCTAGTCCCTCCCTCCCTCCGGGAACAAGCATCCATGACACTCCAAGGTGACGACTGCGAGTACGTGGATGCCCGGCTGCATGCGAAACCCCCGATCATCCTGCGCAGTTGCAAGCACTTAAAGTGTCAATGGACTCAGTTTTTTTTGATCGGGGTGCAAGGCCCGTGCAATAGAACCCTGCAAAGCCCTTCTGAAACCCTCATAACCCTATCAAGACCGTATTCTAGCTAGTAAGCCCCCAAAACCATAACCCTTAAAGCCTTTAAACCCTAAACCCTAAACTCTAAACCCTAAACCTTTAGCCTTACCCCAGACCCTGACACCGTGTACCAGGAAGATCGAGGCTAAGTTTCGTAGGCCTTCTGCTGTGCAGAGAGCTGAATACCCCTTAGTTGAGGCATACACCTTGAATTATAAGGGTTTACGGTTTAGGGTTTAGGTTCCCTCTAAAGGCTCCTTTTAAGTGGTGTCTAAGGGGTTTTAGATCGAGCTTTAGTTAAAAGGGGCTTCATAGTATGGTTTAAGGCATATTCCTGAATATAGGGTATTTGGCTCACTGGGTAGACACTCTTCCGGGCCAGCCCCTGAAACCGTTGCAAAGGCAAGGTCATGGGGCTTTGTCTCATAGGGTTTGGGGTTTCGGGCCGTTTAGGGTTGGAGTTCAGGGTTTGGGGGTGTCGGGCTTAGGTCAAGGCTTATGGGCTTATAGTGTGTACGTACTTTTAGGGTGTACTTGGAGGGTCGGGGGACTTAGTAAGTAGAAATTAAGTAGAGTTACAAGTACCCTAAATGGGATCTTAAGTGGGGTTATGGTACTTATAAGTCTATAAGATAACTAGTTACTAAGCCCCCTGACCCTCCAAGTAGGCACCTGTCGTTGCTTTTATGCCCGAGACTTGACGGACCATGGCAACGGAAACTTCGAAGTATTGGCCACTGAAATGGATCCTTAGGCCTTTTTAGGGACCCTTAAGGCTAAAAATAGGGTATATAGTAGGTATATAAGGATGAAAACCTTAAGGGCCCATACTAGGGGCCCATGGTTTCAAGCTTAGAAAACTGTTTGTTAGGCCTAGCCTCGCGCTAAGACTTTTCACCATCATACCCAGAGAGCCCCCCTTAATTAAGGAATATACCTTAAATCATAAGGGGCTTAGTATTATGATTTAACGTATATTCCTTAATTAAGGGGTATTGGGCTCTCGGGGTACCCCGCACAGGCCCACGTATAGCCATGGTTTTGGCCGGTCTAGGCATACCCACAGACCGGCTATGTAGGTGCAGCTGTGACCGTGAGGGCAGGCAACGATAGCCTTGCCGCACCAAGGAGGAAATCTGTGACTGTTGCCATGAGATGGCAGCTCGGCAAAGTGAGTAGTTCTCTAAACTAGGGTCCGTTCTTTAAGGTCCCCAATATAGTAGGGCACCCTTATAAAAAGGACCCTAAAAGGGACCCTAGTTTCCAGATATCTCACTGTCGGAGGATGTTGCACAGTTGGCCCCAAAGCTGAGCACCTCCACTGAGCCAGTAAACTTCATGGTCATGTACGGTTCCTTTTCATGATTGCAGACGACCGTACTAAAGCGTCTTTTCTAGTTTTCTATGCCCCTACATTGCATCTTGACACGTAAACCCCCCAAATTTTTGAACACCAGACCTCACACCCTTCACCCTACACTCTCAAACCCTAAACCCTAGGCCCCCCTAACACCAAGTCGCTAGTCTCTTCCACCCCTAAACCCTAAACCCTAAGGGCGGAGGGCTTGAATCTTAGGGTTGCTGGCTTGGTTTTCAGGGTTGAGGGTCAAAGCTTCGGGGGTTTTAGGGCTTGGTGAGAACCACCTTTTGGGGGTTTGAGGGTTTAGGATTTAGGATTTCGGGTTTAGGCTTTAGGCTTTAGGGCCCAGGGCCACAAACCCTGAACCCTACAGCATACACACACCCGTAAATCCCTGTTCTAAATTATTAAGGCCCCGGTGCTGGGCTTCAGACCATTATTCCGGGCATTGGGATTGGGGGCGAGGTAGTCGTCCCCGCAACCCAAACCCTAAACCCTACGGCCCCGAATGTGCTCTCAGGTACGAAAAAAAGATAGGAGGGCACATCTGGAAACCTCCTGCGCCATGGACGACATCTTGGAAGCTGTTTTGGTTTAGGGCGTGACGGCTTCGGGTGCTCCCTAAACCCTAAACCCTAAACCCTCAACCCTAAACCCTAAACCCCCAAACCTAAACCCCTAAACCCCTAAACCTTAAACCCCTAAATCCCTAAACCCTAAACCCTAAACA